AGTTGATTATTCTTCTCATATTCGACTGTGATTGGTTAATCTTCTACGACTTAAGATCCTACGACCGCTACGACTTCTATTGTAGACCCCGCATAAAGATTGACCGATTTGCATACGGCCTTACGATTACGACTAAAATTTTTGTACGTGTGATGGCCTTCAAGCTGATTCTAAATTGATCGCATCGCAGCGTCGCAAGCGTTGCGGTCCAATCAACGTCATGCTAGCTCGACTCTGATTGGACTGCAACGCTTGCGACACTGCGATGCGATTAATGTAGAACCAGCTTAATATGCAGTGCAATTCGATGGCATAGCGAATGGTGTAATGTACGTAATATAATATGTACAATACATAATATGTATAAGTAATATGTATAAGTACAATAAATTACTTAATTAAGAATTCTGTGTGTCACCAAATAATCACCCACAAACTAACAATAAACATATATATAATTTCAACGCCTGTACATCTCTGATATTAGGAGAAATTATAAATAAGAGTATATTTATAATTTTTCCTAATAAACTTCGTCAAAATAACAAATTCAAGTGTATAATATTATTTTAGAAAAACACTATTACTAGTGTAATCAACGACCACTAACCTCAGGGTGATATTACATGAGTGCGGAAACGCGCAACCAATCAGTAATCGGTGAAACGCGAAACCATAACAGCGGATTGCTTCTGATTGGTTACGCGTTTCCGCATTTCCGCGTTTCCGCGCTCATGTAATAGCACCCTCATATCTGTCACAATATCCGTTCTGACGCCAATTGGCGTCGCAATGCCCAAATTCGCACGTATTGATGCCAGCCAATCATGGAGTAGCAGGTCACATGACTAAGTTGACGATCTCTCTCCTAGAAGTTCTTTAGACCATAGTGGAATTAAAAAGGTAAACCAAGAGGTTTGTTCGCGTCACGAGTTTCAACATGCTTTAACATGCTCCTACCATAGCTCCTACTCACTCTATCAAGCGCATTGGAGTGAGTAAGAACTATAGTAGGCACATGTTGGAGCATGTTGGAGCATGCGACGCGAACATACCTATGGTGATGGATGCGCAGTAGGTTGAAAGTAGTGGGGGGGATCTGTTAACCAATCAAGTTTTGAGCAAATTTGAAGAGAGGCATATAACTCGTTCACGCTGCAAAAAAGCTCAATTTCTAGTTGGTCGAGATCTCAGATCATGTGACGGGTCCTCCGCCATTATGCGAGTTGGTTCACCTTTCTAAAGCCTTGTGTCCACGATGCTAGAAATTGGTCCGAGATCTCGGAGAGAGAAAGAATTAACCAATCACATTTAAACAATTTAGTCACATGATCAATGCGATTGGTCAATTCTTTCTTCATCCGAGATCTCGGACGGATTTCTAGCATCGTGGACACTGGGCTTAATTCCACCATGCGCGATCCGTATTTAAAGACGAAATCCATAGTACGGTCTTATAGCGTACCCCTCTTTTGACGTCGGCTTATTTCGCCGAGACTCGCTAACATTCGGCTACTTCGCCTCTTTCATATTTATCAACGGTTCTCATCTCATATCTGTTTTGGTCTGTTTACGGCACTTTACAGCAAAGTTACGTTTTTAAAAATGAGTTTTTGCGTTGTTTTTAAGTGCAAAAATCGGACTAGCAAAAAAAACGAGGACCAGTTAGAGATGGAAAGAATTTTGAAACAAAAAATTGAGAACCACTGATCACTATATGATAGTCACGTGGGTAGTCATGTGAGAGCCGAACATATTCGAGCCGAACATCACGACGAAACTAGTCGAAGTCAAAAGACACCCTCTCGGGCTCTCGCTGCGATTATCGCCTACCCCTCGTAGAAAGGCTCCGTCTAATATGCCCGTATTCATAGTCAGGCCTTATATTTAAGGCTTCCTTAAATTTATCTTTAGATACTTTACGAATTATTTCATTGGCTATTGAGCATCTAAAGATAAATGTAAGGAAGCCTTAAGTACAAGGGCATATATGTCGTTGGGTGCATTCAGTACTACAATCGCTCACTTAGCGCTCAGAGAGCGCTTGCATCTCATTGGCATATTCCGTTAGAACTAAAAATATAGATCAAATAGATAGAAGAGCTCACTGAGCCCTCAGTGAGCGGTCGTGGTACTGAATGCACCCTTTGATTCTCTCTGTTTCTGGCCGGATTCTGCATGAGGATTCGGGCTTAGAGTTGGAGGTTATTAAATGGCGATATTCATGTTTGATGTGTGGAGATAATGCTATCACTTGTCATCAGTTAACACAGTGAAACGTAAGGAATTAGTGTATTTTTACGGAAATCGGGTCATCCAAGAAAACAAGTAGCGAGCAAACTAGTTACGTGGGAAACGTATTGGTGAAGGTCATATATGTCGTATTACAAAACGAAGAATCGCCTCGACGAACCGACTGCAGCCACATCATCTGGCCTTGATGAAAATACACAATCAGCTGTCCCTACCGCTTGCTGTTTATATACCTTCCGATAACAATTCATTTTATAAATTCATCTTTCCGTTCGTCAGTTATATTCTAATCAATCTTAACATATCATCGATTGTCAGAGAAGAGACTCGACAAATGATTTATTAAACTTAAATCGCTCGTGATTGTAGTTTGATGAAAATTATATTTATTCCTGCCATCTGACTGAAGTGACAGGTGTGTAACTAAAACCCGCAAGTTTTTCATCGGATTTGATGCAATGTGATATGTGTTATCAATCTGATTGAAAGACGATAATGTTCCATGGAGAAATATATATAGAAATAAGCAAAAAGGAAAAGACGGAAAAAAGTCTTGAGGGAATGGTACGCATTTCCGTTGATACTTTCCATAATGATGAAATCGTTGAATTGATATAGATTAGTTGGAAAAATTTTTGGTGGACCATGTGCGCTATTAGGAGTTTGCGATCTTGACAAAAGAGAATTTAAATTTTTTTTTGGCAAACAATGGCTTGTGATGCTCTTATTTGGGGACTATTGTTTGTGGGTTGCAGCATACAGACATTATGGGCTATATCTGAAGATAATCCATCAGAATATATGAATAAGGAAGAGAGAGAAGCTTTAAAGTATATATATTGTTTACTTACTTTATGATTAAATCTTTATTTTATCTGGATTATACGTTTCGTAATTGTATTATTATATCTTATAGAGAAGAAGCAAGGGATATGTTTTATCATGCGTACAATGCATATATGGTAAGTAATACCTGATATATTATATTCTTGATTTATATGATTAATAATTCTTGGTTGATAAATGTAATATATCTCGTGCATATACATGTAAATAGCTCAATTAGAAATAGCTTCAAGTCTGTATTTGAGATGAAAGAATTTTATAAAAATTAGTATTTTAAATTTTTGTATTTTGAACAAAAAGAAGTTATTCTTTTACAGAGTCATATAAACAAGCAAAATACTTGAAGGCTGGTATTCATAATCTATTCTTATTTTAAAACTATCTTAAGTAATGTCTTAAGATGATAATATGGCTCTCTAATTGGTTCATGACTGTCTTGAGTCCGTTTTAAGACAGTCTTAAATAGGGATGCACCGGATCATAAAATTATCAAATATCGGATATCCCGTATCATATTCTTTTCAGATATTTGATCAGATATCCAATAGGGTCATTATTCAATTGAACTAACTAGATATCAGATAATTCCTTGGATGTATCTGGAAAATACCTTTTAAAAAAAAGAGGCAACACGAAAAGAAAAAAAGGAAAGATCATCTGCAAAAAATTCAGCTGCAAAGAATAAAATTCTGCATTAGTGATGTAAACAATAATAGTAAAGTAACGCAATATAAATTTTCAATCGGATATATTACCGGATACTAATGATTTCCGGCTATCTGGCTGAATAGGGTTAGATAATGCCAGATACCAGATATTCCCTGGATATCTGGTGCATCCCTATAGTTTTAAACATAAGAATCGGCTATGAATATCGGCTGAAAATGTTGCTATAATTTTTTCAAGGATAATGCATATCCTGCTGATGAACTGATGCCATTAAGCTGTAAAGGACGATATAGAGGCTCTGAACCTAATAGGGGTGATATAGATTCTACATTGGGAAAGTAAGAAGTTAAACGTTCGTCTGTATTTTAATTTAATTGTAATATATATATACATTTACACACGAAGAACTTGTGTTGGCTCACATAGGCTTATTCACTGTATCATCATTATAGGTCGATTAGTAAGAAGTTAAATTGTACATAAAAATATCTATATAAAATTATAATTGTATTTTTGTAAGCTTTATGCTTTTGTTAGATTCTTGATAATTATTCATGTTGCTAGAATTATAACTTAATTTGTGTATTATCATTGCAGTTTTTCACTTACTTTGGTAGATACATTGGATACATTAGTGGTAAGTTATAACGAGTACTATGTAATATATCACGTAGAACAAATTCTATTTATATATTAGTATTTTATGTATATTAGGTACTGGGAGATTTGGAAGAATTCGAGAATGCAGTCAAACTTGTTGCTAGAGATGTAAGCTTTGATACAGATGTTATTGTTTCTTTATTTGAAACAAATATTAGAATGCTTGGGTGAGTGAAATCATTACAGTCAAAATCATTTACATATATTTATTAAAAAATATATTTATAAACATTTTTTTATTATAAAATGTTTAATTTTCATATTAAATGTCATATAACTGTTTTTTTAGAGGTCTTCTTAGTGGTCATATATTAGCTGAATATCTGCAACAGAGAGCTGATATAATGCCATGGTATAGAGGAGAACTTTTGGACTTGGCTAAAGAGTTAGGTTATAGATTTTTACCTGCATTTAACACAACTACTGGAATACCATATGGCAGAGTAAGTTTAATACACAATAATATGGAATATATTTTGTTTGAATATTATCATGCTTCTATATTTTTGCATTTAAAGTTGACTTTAAACAATGTATAATTTGTATAAGAATTTAGGATGGAATTCTATTTATAATCGAATTATATATATGTATATGTGTGTGTGTATGTGTGTGTGTGCATTTGTACAATTTTTCGAATGTTTTTCATATTATGGCTTTCACATTCTGATATACACTGTCAGTACTGAAAATCTGTAGTATGCGTAACGTAAACTATAGATTTTCAGTGCTGGTAGTGTATATTGGAACGCAGTCCACATAGGACAACAATTGTTGCAATTGTACACACGTGCGTGCATGCAAAAGTGGTTAGAATAAATCTTTTTTTGTGCGAATATAAATTAATATTGCTAGACATATTGTGAAAGATTCTCAGCATATCCTAATAAATGGGTATAGTCTTCACAGAAGCTTAAAAGATTATTTAAAAAAATACGCGTATTAAAGACCGTAAATCAAGCGTGTGTTTAATTCGAATATTTATTAACACTTTTTAGGCTGTCACGGGTGATATCTTCGAGTCTTTATTAATATCTGAAAATTGTTAAGACATTTGCAATGAGACAACGATATATTGGCAACGATATATTCATGTATTAACAATGATGTATTCAGTGGTTGTCATTAGCAGTTCTTTCGAAATAAATCTACGTCTTACAATTTCGGCCATTATTGATATTCATTTTATCACAAACTGGTTATATATACAATATCTTCGTTAAAAATGATCAAAATTTAAATATAAAAAAAGGGTTTTAAAGCTTGAAATCTCTACTTTCGAATGGTTACTATATTTTTTTAATTTATGTTAATTTTGTAATTTCTATATATAGAAAACTACGAGCTGAAAAAAAGGGAAATTTTTCTTCTCACTGTGGGTCTGTCACGTGCCAAAAAAATTGCGAAAATTTTCGACTATCTATATCGTGAAAATTTAGAGTTTTCCTTACAAAATCGTTTTTTAAAAATGTTCCTACAATTTTTTGTTCTTGAGTTATTCGCGAGTTAAGTAAAAAGGAGCGTTCTGATTTTGATTGCTCATAACTCTATTAAAAATTATCGTACTGTAATTTAAAAAAAAACAGATTCTTAAAGCTGAAATGTTGCTCTATCGAATAGTATCATGCTAAATTTTTTAAATGTAAAATATATAGAAATTTGAGTTAAAAATGTGATATTACTATCCTTATAACCATTGCGCGATGGAAAAAAGGACAATATCATATTTTTAACTCAAATGTACATATATTCTATTTTTTTCAATTGTCAATTACACCACTTGATGGAGCAACATTTTAGCTTTAAGAATATGTTTTATTAATTACAATACGCGATTATTTTTAACGAAGTTATGAGCAATCAGAATGCTCTTGTATTTAATCCGCGTGTAACTTGATAATAAAACGTCCTAGGAACCTTTTTTTAAAAACAAACTTTTAGGAAAAAATTTTAAGCTTACAATTAGTTTCGACAGATAGTCGAAAATTTCGCAACAAATATATTCTCTATATAATTTTGATCTAACAAAATTTTACAGAACTTTTTTTCCAACCTAATATATACAATAAAATATTTGTTGAAATCTCAAACAAACTGTGATTAAACATTATGCACATATTAGAAATGATATTAAATAAATTATAGAAAAAATTCGGTCCGTGATCGAACAACTTGTACAAAGATATAGAACAATTTTTTTAATCAATACATTTATTAAAAATCTAAAGGTATGTTTCGTGACCACAGGTCCTTCAGCATGTATTTAAAAAATATAAATTAAATAAAATCGCAAAGTTTATTTATCAAACATGATTATAAATATAAGTCAATGATAATGAGGAGTCAAGATTCTTGAAAGTTTTGTTCCATTCGAAGACAATGCTATAAATTTTAAGGAGATTTTCGCGCTACTTCCTAGTCAATAGATAGTTTATTCATAATAATATATAAAACAAAATAATGGAATAAAAAGATTATCAACAATATCTTATGCCATCATACATAATTATTGTTAATTTTACATATTACTAAATATTTTCAAAATAAAAGTTGTGAGGTGCTTATTTGGTGTATACGCCGTATGAAAAAAGCTAGAATATAAATTTCTTGTAAACTGTACGGTTAGTTTAAATGAAACTTTACGAGAACAAACTTAAGTATTTACCTTATAATTATAACGATTTTTAAATTGCTGTCTTATACAGCAAGTGTCTTATAAAGAAAGTGTCTCAATTTAAAAGAGAATAACTATAAAATAAGGTTATACCTTCAACTTTTAATGTAAAATTCTATAAATTTAGAATTAAATATCTTCAAAATGGTACGGTAAAAGTCAATGAAATTTTTTCTAGATATTATTGATATTAACTTTTGCATTACATGTATATTATAGACATGTCTTATATTTCATCAAACGCGAGAACCTCCTTAAATTTTGTTGTATCAAAAACTCTATTACTCGTCAAAGTACATCGAATAGGCTATTCAGAACTTCGGTGCTAATGTTGGATGTGAAGTTAGCACCCCATTTTGCGAAGTCTATTTTTTTCATGGGCGGAACTCTTTCTAAAAATCATCAGGAACTCTTCCTCTTGTTCGAAAGAATCCAGAATTCTTATCAGAATTCCGATTTCGAAGCATGGGAATGTCAACTTCACACACCCATGAAATTATATGATTTTTTTACATAATATGATTTCTCTAATTATTTTTCATATATAAACCTAAATACTTTTATGAACAGAATAGGAAGATGAATCAATCGGTATAAGAAAAACACGTAGTTGTTTATTTAAAAAATTATCCATTTTGTCTCTCTATATATATTTTTTTAAACCAGCTATATATTTTTTTTTACCAATTAATTCATCTCCTTATTTTTCTAAATGGAATTATGAACACAATAAGGAGATGAATTAATTGGTAAAAAAAAATATATAGCTGGTTTAAAAAAATATATATAGACAAAATGGATAATTAAGGAGATGAATTGGTACAACAAAAAGTGACCTTCATATCTTTTTGATCAAAATATGTCTTCTTCGAAATCACTTCGGTTTCATCCGAAACATTTTTCAGTATCTTCCATATTCTTCGAGAATTTTCAAGGTTTCCATATTTTTTTGTCATCCTGTATTGAGATTCTATCGCAATTACAAATTTAAAATCTCCTGATTTTTTAATATGATCAGCAGTGCCATATTAGTACTAGAGACTAATCTAGACTATATCCAGGGGCGGCAAGTTTAGGGGGGGGGGGCGGCATTTTTTGAAAAGAAGTTCTAAAAAAATATTTTTGCCACGTGAATGATTGAGCAAATTTTCCATCGATCACTGGAGGTTTGTTCGCGTCGCATGTTCCAATATGCTCCTATTATAGCTTCTACTCACTCCAACAAGCACATTGGGTCAAAAAAACGTATACAGTGTGTAACTAAAATAACATATATGGAACCATGAGATACAGGACAAGAATCCAAGTAGAAAAGTCCTGAGTCATTTTTTGAGCTGAGCTTTCGGTTTGTTGTCATACGATGTTAAAGTTATCGTATTAGCGGCCGTCTATAGAGGGAAAGCAGGGACGTAGCAAGGCGGAGCTGACGAATACGCGGCGGGAGGAGAACGACGGTGAGCAGCGAAACGGTGTAATTATCAATCTCCCTCCCCCCCCCTCTCTCTTTCTCTCCACTTTGTTTAAAGAAATCTTAAAGATCAGAAAATGCACAGCTATAATAAATGATTTAGTGTTTTCGTAATAAATTATCGGATGGATTTAATAGATGGAGTCACTTTGAACACTTATTATAATTTTAATGAAATAAATAATCGATTAGTTTACACTAAATCGATAATTGAGGGGATTGGCGGAATAAAGGCACAATTCTACTTAGGCCCTTTTTCCGGAGATTAGTGCAAATAAACAAGGAATTGGTGTTGCTTATATTAGTTAAATATGAACATGTTTCGATTGTCCTGGGGTGGTGAAAATGATATAATCTATGGAAAAAGAGCATAAATGATTTAAAATCATTATTTTTACCAGAGACTGAACGAAAATGGTACAACAATAATGTGTTTTCATTTAACATATTTATGTTAAAAAATCTTACGAAAACTCATCAGATGATGTGATTGAACATTATTTCAATTTATTTTGTACAAATAAAAGTAAAATGTATTTCATATTCATTTTATATTTCTTCTAGAAGAATGTGAAAATAAAAAAACATTTCTGCAGTTCGTAGTCTTTTCTTTCTGTCTATTCTTACAATATTATAATCAACATTCGGGAAAAGGGACTAAGTGTATTTTTTAAATTGCAAACAACTTTTTAAATATTGATCATAATAGAAAAATATTATAACATATAACTTCTCAAAGACATTATACTATAAATATACATTTAATACTGTTCCCATTTGTGGTATAATAAAAAAGTAACAAGTTATTTTAATTTTTATCAAAATCAAGATTTTGTAATTAAGCCTTTATTCCGCCAATCCTCTCAATTTATTACGAAAACATCAAATCATTTATTTTAGCTATGCACCTTCTGATATTTAAAATTTCTTTAAACAAGGTGTAGAGAGAGAGAGAAGGAGAGGGAGATAGATAGATAAAAGCGTGTATACATATACAGTGTTCTTAAAAAGTCCAAAAACGGTCAAATGTCTCGAAAACGAAGTATTTTTGAAAAAAATTTTTTGGACAAAAGTTGTAGAATTTAAAAAGATCTATTTACTGTTCATATTCGTTTGACCTTGGGTGACGTCGTCAAGGCCAGCAGTGGAATTCTGTAACTCGTTATGCAATCGTTATGTGCTCGTAATGACAGCCGCGCAGATATTTTGTATGATAAAAAAGCTGCGCAACTGTCGTTATGAATTCATAACTGCAGGTCAAAGTCACATCGCTTTTTGTTTAAACGAAACACCCTATTTTTTATTGCCGAATCTAATAGCTGACCTCGTAAGCTTTCCAAAACACTTTAATAGGCTTTTTTTTTTAATCAGTACTTATTGAGTTATCAGGCTTAAAAGTTATAGTACCACCGGCATTAGAGCACTACCCAAGGTGTTCGACCGACGGTTAAAACCTCTTGAATGTTGTTCAGGGTCATACCCTGGATAATATTTATTAAGATCAAGATTGGAGGTTGCTCCTCTTATTTTCATTTTTGCACTAAAAGTTCATTTTTACGTATAGTTTTCGAACTTTTTGAGGACTCTATATATTATATATGTATACATACATATTTTATATTTTATATGTATACATATATACAGGGTGGGGCAGTAACTCTGTCCACTTAGAATATTTCTGCTATTTTTATAGATATGAAATAATATATTTATTGAAGTTGTATATAGCATCAAGAGAGGTACAATATACTACTAATAGTTTTTATATAAGTAGAGGCGCTTTGGGGAGATTTCAAGATCATCTCCACTTTTTTAAATGGAATTGTATGATTGTTTTTACACAATATGATCCCTCTAATTATTCTGCATATAAAAGTATTAAGATAATGAATATAAAAAAAAAACCTATAATTTACGAGATATTTTATACTTTATTCTGGCATATATTGACATAAAATATTAAATAACTCGTAAACTGTTAATGTTTTTATAATCGTACCTTAATACTTTTATGAACAGAATAATGAGATGAATCAATTGGTGGAAGGAAAACACATAGTTGCTTATTTAAAAAATTATCTTTTTTGAATATATGATACATATTTTTTTTAAAGCAACTATGTATTTTCTTTCGACCAATTGATTTATCTCATATTATTCTATTCATAAAAGTACGATTATAAAATTTTTCTATATTGCGATCTCTCTTTAAATCGTCCTTTTGTTAATTCACTAGTATTGTTAATTTAGTAGCATGTATGTTATATATCATATATTTTATATATATATATATATTGTTGACTTATTCGAATGTTGACCTTCGTTAGAAGCGTTTTACGTCTTGTCAATTAAAATATGAAAACTCAGCGGATTTTTGTTTCTTAAATTTTGGACAAGTATGGCTATGCGGGTGAGTGCTTTACTTTCTTTTCTTTCATGCATTTTTGGCAATGTCTTTTTCTTTGACACAGAATTTCATCAGTTAGTTCTTTGCCACTGGACTTATCAACCACGTGTCAATGCAACTGAGGATGAGATTGAACCGTCACCCACCCGTTTGGCCATATAGAAGTACGGATGTAATACTTGTATACTTAACACACTGAAGATGGCTCGAAATAAAGCCGAAACGTCTGTATCATTATTACTTATTAATTAAATTAGAAATTTGATAACTGTCTTCGCACCAATTACCGCATTAAAACTCTCAGTCCTTTTTATCGTATTTGACATTATCGAGCGTTATTCTTTGTTTTTACAATTATAAAAAATTAATAATTTACGAGTTATTTAATATTTTATGTCAATATATGCCAGAATAAAGTATAAAATATCTCGTAAACTAAAGGTTTTTTATATCACTATCTTAATTACTTTCATATGCAAAATAATTAGAGGAATCATGTTGTTTAAAAAACCGAATGAATATTGCAAAGGTTCGTGAAATCTCTTTATTAACAAGAGAAAAATAAAAGGCATATACCACGTTTTATTTTTCTCTTGTTTTTAAATTTTGACCACGTATTGACATTTAATGCTCTTTATTAACATTTACTGCGGTATTCTTAAGGGGGTATTCTGGTCTAGAAGCCGAATTTTAAGCCATTTTTGCGAATTTTTTATAAATATATAAAGTTTTTTGAAACGGGGTTTTTTCCTAACATTTATACATAATATTTAAAATATTAAAATATTTTCAGAATTTTTTAATTAAAAAATAACTATAAATATGCGCTGTATAAAATATTAAATAAAGTGGTGAAAAAAAAAGTAGGTCCATGTGTGGCTCCCATGGTTTTAGCTCTTCTGCTTATCTGAAACAAAAAAATCAAAGAAATTCTTAATTAGTATGAGTTATAGAAGGTACCAAAACGAAAAAAATACTGAAAATTAAAAAATTACGTCATGTCGAAAATTAAGTTTCGATTTTTGTCATTTTTTTCACCAAAATGGTTGTAAAAATTACAAAAAAATATATTTCGACTTGATCATGGTAGGAACTATAGACATTTATGTGCTGAAGATGTGTGCACATGCCCGACTCGATTGGTCAACTGGTTTTCGAGATATCATAGGAGCCAATTTGAAAAATGTGGTTTCGAAAAAAACACGTTTAAAGTTTATCATACTGATTATATAGAGATAATTTTACTGACGATCAGTCAGCTAGTCCGGAGCCATAGAGTAAACCTTCCTTTTGCTCATAGAATCCTGCAAAAGTTCTCTCTCTTTCCTGTGACTTGCTTTTTCCTCTTTAGCAAAGTCAGTTGAGCGCCGCTCCGAACGAATGATACGAGCTTCCCGAGAGTTTGCGTACATCTCCGCTTGTTGACCAATAACCATTCCCATTACACTTATAACTTTTAAAATTGGTATAATATATACGAACTCGATTAAATTTCTCATCTATTTTATCCATTTTTAATATTTTGTGTGTAAATAAACAATTTGCGTCCGCTTCTACACAGGAAGATCAAACTGGATTGTTAGACAAATCTTTAGAAAAACTCCACTCCAAATATACGGCCTTCTAAGAATAACGGTTTTCCGACCTTAGCCGAAATAAAAATGTCGATTAACAACGCTTTATTGTGCACCGCGCGGCCCGAGCGTCGAAAACGAGCCGGAGACCGCTCCTTATCAGGTGCTATAACTTTGTTAATTTTGCGAATCGAGCTAATTCCTTATGCAGACATATTTTCTACACCAAATACTTGCAACATATGTAAAAAAAATCGATTTTTTTACCCGCTAGACTAGAACACCCCCATTTAGTCCGATTTAATTGGTGAGGAGTAATGTCGATTGCAAATTCGATACAACGTGATTTATATCAGTAAAAGGGATTTTTGAAATATGTTTGGATATTTAATTTAATTTTAATTTAGTTTATTGCAAAGCTCTATGAAAAAGACTACATGTTAACAGAATAATAGACATAAACATAAAATACGATAAAATAGACTATAGTAGCTTGCAAATGGTTAGGCGTCAGCAAGACTGCTGTTACAAAGCCTACCAGTATCAAAACCAGGACTAAAACGATACAATGAGAGGTGAAGCAATAATTAAAATCATACACGCATGCACGCGCGCGCACGCACGCACACACGCACGCACACGCACATTTATTGGATCTTTAAATATAAACTGGTTTATTAAAACATATATGGTACATTAAGAATTAAAATAGTTTTTCATCGATAAATTCATAGGAAACATTTCGACTGTACTAAATCTTCATCAGTCCACATACGAATAACAAGAAAGAGAAAAAGAAATTATAATAATATATAATAAATTATTATATACGGATTTTATATGTATATAATATCGTATGTTATACGTATTATACATACGTATTATACGTATGAAACTACTTGTAGCTCTAAATTGCCCAATCGCTAAATTGCTCTACCGCTGAAAGAAATAAGATATATAATGTGTCTTAAATTCAATTTCAGCCAAGTGTAACAAATTTTCTGTATGTCTCATAGATAAATTTGAAACATGGCATGAAAGGAGTTCCTGTGGAAGTATCAAGAGAGACATGCACTGCTTGTGCAGGTAGTATGATATTAGAAATGGCCGCTTTATCTCGATTAACAGGTGAACCGATTTTTGAGGTAAAATATTCTATGGATATGACATGATATATGAGGTGTAACAGAGCGACCGTACCAAGCTCATTTCTTGGAAAATGTTTTAAATAAAAATTTTTTTACTTTGAGGGGGATATAAGATGGTATCATTGATTTGACCTTGGGTACCGTTATTAAGAGTAGGACAAGATTACATTGAATTTTTTAAACAAAACCCTCCATTTTTTATTACATGTTCTCGTATCTTACCTTAAGAGCATTTCAAAATATTAATAAAACATTTTTACATTAAATACTTTTCGAGTTACAAGGTTACAGTACTTTACTCGAATGTTACAGTGTTACATGCCACCGGCATTAGCGTTACCCAAGGTGTCCGATCGACGACTAAAACTTCCTAAATGTTGTTCAGTATCATGATATGGATACTATTTGTCAAGATCAAAGTCATTGGAGGTTGTTCTTTTTATCTTCATTTTTATGTAAAAATAAATTTTTAGTGCAAAAATGAAAATAAGAGGAACAGCCTCCAGTTGCTTTGACAGATGGCATTCATGATACTGAATAACATTTAAGAGGTTTTAGCCGTTGATCTGACATCTTGGATAATGCTAATGCCGGTGGTACTGTAACTTTCAAGCCTTATAAGTCGAAAAGTACTTAATGAAAAAATATTTTATTGTAGTGTGTTTTAAAAAGCTCTCGAGACAAGCTACGAGAATATGCAATGAAAAATGAGGAGTTTCATTAAAAAAATTCAACGTGTCTTTGCCCTGACCTTGATAATGCTACTCAAGGTTGAACTAATGGTACCATCTTATGCCTTCTTTGAAGTAAAAAAAACTTTCGTCTAAAACATTTTTCAAGAAAGAAGATTAGTCTGATACGATCGCTCTGTTACACTTTGGAAGCGTTCCACTTAACGTTCGCGACGCTTGCGAGCATTTCATCCTTTAATCTTTAGGCTGTCGGTATTTTTTCATTAGTGGTTTTTTTCTCGAAAATTTTTCTTTATAAATAACATACACATGGCGCAGAATATCGAGATTTGTGCAGAGCCACAAAAATGGCTTTCCCGGCAAGGTATGATCGAATAAAAAAAATTTTTATTTTCTGAAAAATAGTGTATTTTATGGTTTTTGGTAGAGGAGAAAGTGATATTATGGCACCCCAGTTACATTTTACACAATAACTTGGTTAAAAATTAATATTTAAGTTTAAAACTTGACAATTACATTCGTTCTTGAATCGATTCTGAACTCAAAGTTACAAAATATTTATTATTTAGGACATTAAACTTAATAAAAATACGGCGACATTGCATAATGACTCGAAGAAAAATATGGGTGGTAATATGTGTGGCCTACCATAAAAATAGCCTTAAAAAATTAGTTGTATTTAGGAAACAGTATTTGGTCACAAAATTAACAAAAAAGTAAAACATTTTAAAATGTATGCAAATAAATGTATATACATTCACATAATTTCTGCATATAAGATGCTCAGTACTAAAAATTTCAATACTAAAAATAGTATACATGTAACATAAACTATAGACTAATAATACAGCTACAATCGATTAAATAATTATTTTAATATGAAAACCTCAAAAAAGAGATCGTGAATAATCATATCCATAGAGGGCCACATTAGCAAAATGACATGCTATTGTTTAAATTTCCATAACTCAAAATATATACAGTCAAATAAAATGTTAAATAGCAAATAACACACTCAAAAATACATATATTCATATGATGATACGCTCAAGTTTAAGAAAAAATGAGGGGAAGTAGGTAATTAAATGCTAAAATGTACCTCAGAAACGTTTCGAAATATTTGAAAGTAAAAATGCGTTATAATAAGTGCTGGTTATTGAGTATTGGTATTAGCGTCATGTAACGGCGAGCTACTGAACAAATAATTCCATAAGTAATCATTAGGATTCGTTATATAATAGCGGAGATATTAAGGGAGACCACAATATATACTGGCCGTAATATCACCTTCTCCTCTATCACTGATTCCAATTCTGAGCATAGATTTATGAAACCTCGAGCCTTAAAACATGTGTGAGTTGGCCCCGCACTTTTCGAATTTTATAATTTTTTTAATTGTGCTGTGTTGTGCTACGTTTGTGCCGATTTGAGCCGCAAACTGCAGCTCAATAACAAAGCGTTTTTCAAAAAAAAAAAAAAAAAAAAAAAACACTAATATTTAGGAATGAAAAACTTCAAACTCGTGTAATTTGCGAACGGTGTGAGATAATCGAATTCTGCAAGTTGTGCTGAATTATGCTACACAAAATCTACGAAGCACATGCATAAAAAGTTTAGAAGTTTAAGGTAAAATTTTTTGAAAAAGTGAGGGGCAAATAAAAAATTCGACATTTTTAGATTTCTTTCATTTGTGCCGGATTGTGCTACAACAGTACAACTTTTCCTAATAGCAAAATTTCCTCAGATCAACAGATTTCGCGAAGATCAACAGATATCGTCAAAGTTATGAATCAGTCGTTGGAATTTTTTAGGAATGAAAAATTTCAAACTCGTGTAACTTGCGAACGGTGTGAGATAATCGAACTCTGCGAGTTTTTCTTTAAGTTTTTCATTCCTAAATGTATGGCTAGCAATTTTTTTTTTAACGCTTCATGTTATTGAGCCGCGGTTTACGGCACAAATCGACACAAACGTAACACAACACAGCGCAATTAAAAAATTTACAAAATTCGAAAAGTGCGGGACCAACTTCACACACGTAGCCCTATAAACGTAATATTGACAACATAAATCAGAGCTGTCCAAGGGTGCGTTCCGTTTCTTGCATGATGCGCATAGAAGAGCATAGAAGTTCGTTCCGTTTCTCTTCATGCACACTCGCTGCATGGATGATTCAACCTACCACCAATTGCATAACCAAATGAATATAAACGTATAGACTCATGCAGAGAACTTTTCTTTAGCATTACCCAGAGCTAACGACTTGGACGTAGAAAGTTTGTAGCTCTCTTTTGACTTTTCTGTTTTGTTTAATTTTTTGTAATTTTCTTATTTTTTTGTTTTATAATTTTTTTTTACTTGTTTAAATTTTTTAATTTTTTTTGTATATTTTTCAGTATTTATATTTTTTTATATATTTAAGGCAACGTACACACATATGTGTTTAATACAATTAGTATTTAAAATACCATAAAAAGTGGTGGTATTTTAACCCACACTCAAGAACTATAAAAATGGCTTTCTAAAGTTTTCGACAGTCTAAAGGTTAATATTTGAAAACAATAAGAATGAAACGATGCTCGCGAGTGTTGCAAACGTTAGGTGGAATGTACCATTTGTATATAATTGATAATGATTGTTGATTAGAACTAAAATGACAAGTATTGCTTCATTAGGAAAAAGCACAAAAAGCTATGGACGTTTTATGGCGTATGAGACATCGTGGTACAGACTTAATGGGATCTGTGTTGAATGTTAATTCTGGAGATTGGGTACGAAGAGATTCCGGAGTCGGCGCTGGCATAGACTCTTATTATGAATATTGTCTTAAGGCATATATTTTACTCGGTAATTATGTATATTTTATGTATATGTGTAGATAGCTAAATTATCAAATACACTTCCCAATAGATATAAAACAAGATATTAAAAAAAAAGAAAAATCATTTTTCGAGAGATATATATAATACGTTTAATAAATTTTTTATAGTGTCACACATTTATCTTACATTAATGTACAAAATAATGAATAAATTAATTGGTATAAAAAGAACATAGTCTACGTTTACACAATATGATTCCTCTAATTATTCTGTATATAAAAGTATTAAGTGATATAAAAAAGTATTAGTGATATAAAAAAACTAATAATTTACGAGATATTTTATACTTTATTCTAGCATATATTGACGTAAAATATTGGTCTCGTAAACTATTGGTTTTTCTTAATATATCACTACCTTAATACTTTTATATGCAAAATAATTAGAGGAATCATATTGTGTAAAAGAAATCATACAATTCCATTTAAAAAAGTGGAGGTGACCTTCATACCTTTCTGGAGCCTCCACCTAGAAAAAAACAACATGATCAAAATACGTCCCCCTCGAAACAGGTTCACTTTCATTTGAAACATTTTTTTTATATCATCAAAAATAAGCGAGATATTTCAGATGATCGATTTAAGTGGACCACCCTTGTATACATATGTATATACTTATTTTAACCCTTTGTGTATATAAGAGTGGGAAATATATTTCCTTATACCTTTGTTTTCATTGTTATGATGTAATGTTCACAGTTTAATGAAACCAATTATGATTTCATATTTTTCTGGTACATTAATACTTTTTTTACACATTTTCCACGGTCTTTATTTTGAGTATTCATTTCTCTAATTATTTATAAAGAAATAAAATTTAAAAAAAGCGATTTTTACCAAAATGTGGTTTCTTGGAAAGATAAGAAGCTGAACATTTTACTAAATATTCTTCACATATCAAAATATAATCTATTTTTTCAGAATTTTATAAAATTTTTAGATTTTTTATTAAAAAAAGTTTATTGTGTGAAGATAAAAATTACATTAGATATGTTACAAATTTTTTGAATTTTTATCATAAAGGATTGTTTCTTAGTAAATAGGATGTGCTGAATATGAATATAACATAAAGAATTGTCTATCAAAGTTTCCGAGAAAGAAGGAGTTGAAACCTTAAAACACTAATTTACCATGGCAGCCGTATCGGATCTGCCATTTAGGATTTTGTAAATCTCACTTCAGATTTGTATTGTATTGTCAGCGACTCGAAAAAAATTGCAAGATTTCAAAACTTCGTCTACATTGAAAAAAGTGTGCCACACAAATGATTAAAATTATACATTTCATTTTCTGTCATTAATCAATTTATGTTATTGTCGTCTGTATAAAAATATCAAATTTAAATCATGAATAAAATGTTTATTTTACAATTTGTGTATGTGTATATATAAGGCGTCTGTATATATTTTACATTATATACAGGTGATGAAAAATACTTAGGCCGTTTTAATAAGCATTACCAAGCCGTAATGAAGTATGTTAGTCAGGGGCCCATGTTATTGGACGTACATATGCATAGACCAAATACCAACTCCAAAAATTTCATGGACGCTTTATTGGCCTTTTGGCCAGGTCTGCAGGTATACCATTAATTTTGCTTTTACAGGATTGCCACAGAAAATTAATTTTGAAAGTCCCTGACTTCCAGGACTTTTCCATGACCAATATCAAATATAACATTGTTAAATGTTAACATTTTGAAACGAGAAAATTGTAAGAAAGCTATATTATTAAAAACAACATGCATTTAGAAGCTTAGCAGCATAATGAAATCTTGGATACAAATTCATACCAACAAAAAATAAATGAATAATGGAAAAAATGCAGTTATAACGGAAAAGGATGATTAAATGAAAATACTGAATAATAAATTTTAATATTATTTTATTAAAATTATTTTGTGTGTGCGTGTGTGTATGTGATTATTTTATTAATTTTAATTCTATAGTTTGAAGTAAAAAATATATTTAATAAAATATTTATCTTAATTATAACAAAATTTAATTAAAGTGAATTAAGTTTCGTATTAAACTATATATGGAAATTAAAATAAAAAATAAACTTGACATTGAGAGATATCTAACTTCTACACTTATAAAAAAGGAATTACATTTCTTTTAACATAATAACTGATACATGCCCTAGTATATGTATATATAGTTTGCAAAACTGACTAAGAAAATCAGTATTTGACTATAAATATTAGATACATTATTTTTAAAAATTATAATAATTATTTGGAATAAAAGCATTTTAAGGGAATTAAGCAACGCTCAAATAAAATTCCAGACTTTTTTATATTTTTCCCTGACTTTTTCAACTTTTACATGACCAATTTACATTTCTATGACTTTTCCCGGTTTTCTTTATTTTCCAGATCTGTGTGGCAATCTTGAAATTTTTTAATTTAAAAAATAGCTTGCATTCATTTCATGTTACAATTTTTTGTAGGTTCTTAAAGGTGACATCAAACCTGCCGTAGAAACGCATGAAATGTTATACCAGGTTATGCAGAGACATAACTTTATACCAGAAGCATTCACTACCGATTTTCAGGTATATATGACACATTACAACTGATAATTATGGCATATGTAAAAAATTATTTGTTACGTTCAAAGAAGTTCCGCTATTTACGAATTATCTCCGTATCTTCATACATCATTAAATGCCAATGTTTCGTGAACATTGCGGAAAATCGCTATAAAAGGGGTATTCTAGCACCATAGGCGTGTTCGAATTCCCACCCAGGTGTTCTCCGGGTATCATATCATTCTTGTTTAACGTTCGATAAATAACAAGGATAGATTGGTGATACCTGGATGGCACTTGAGAAAGCAGACGACCTATTTTAGATCAGGCCACTAAAAAACGAGGCCTGATCTAAAGCTAGGTCGGATCATCTACCAAGTGTTTATAGCATGGGGCCTAAATAATTTAGGTCGAATTTGGGGTATAGACCATGGACTAAGCGCACGGTGTAAATTAGGCCATTGGCTACGTTTACACTGTACAGTTAGATACTAGACTGTATGGCCTATACAATAGGTATCCTTATTTATCTTGTAAGTTAAATAAAAATACCTATCGTATAATTCGTGGACTAAGTACATGGCGTAAACGTAGCCATTGTTTAATTCGCTTACTACTCGTTTTACTGCTTAAGTTTTTTTGTGTGCCTTAACTTCTTTGAAGAAAATATCTGTGGAAGTCTCAAAATTAATCGTTATATTTATTATATCATATTACATAACGTAATTTAAATAATGTCTAAAAATAGGTGCATTGGGGGCATCATCCACTTAGACCAGAATTTTTAGAATCGACCTACTTCTTGTATCGAGCCACAGGTGACCATTATTATTTAGGAGTTGGACGTAAGGTACTCAAAAGTCTGCAAACGTATGCGAGAGTGCCATGCGGTTATGCAGCTGTATCAGATGTTAGAACTAATAAACATGATGACACAATGGATAGCTTTGTATTGTCCGAGACATTTAAATACTTATTTTTATTATTCGTGGAACCAGGCGAATTGGTTTTAGATTTGGACGAATTTATTTTTACCACTGAAGGTCATTTATTGCCGCTCACACTCGCTTCCATCAGGACAAATATTTCATCTGTAAGTATACTGCAATTGATTCGGCAGTACAGTGATGTAAGTTTTACTTTTTTTATTAGGATTTTGAACGCGATATTGTTTATGTGGACGAGTTTGACCGTACTTGCCCGAATAGTTTGCATTTATTTCCGGCAACAGTAAGGCAACCTTTGAGAAATATGGTAGAGGATGTTTGTCCGAGACGATCGGTCAAACGAAGATTAAGCGCATCGCAATTTCAGGTATATTTACATCAAATTCATATTTTTTAACAAAAATCTATTTAAAGATCAAATTTTTTTTCTGCAGGCAAATAATTTGGAACATCTGAAAATGTTGAGTGATATGGGAATAACAACTCTAACGTTAACCGATGGACGAGTTCAACTTTTGCACACATTTTCTAATGTAATTTATCACATTAAACATCATAAATTGTATTTAATATCTTATTATGTTTGGTATATGATACATTATAATAATAGATAGTATAAATAAATTAAATATTCTACGGATGTATATAGTCCCATCAGCCAAACATTAAAAGAAGTTAAAGCTTTCACGGGTATTATCTTCAAAGATACCAGAAAGTTTGCGGATTATCGCCGTGTTTTCATCCATTAATGACATTTCATCTATTAATGGCATTAACAATGGATGAAAAGACGGCGATAAAGCGTATATCTTCTGGTATCTGTATTAAAAAAAGTTATATGAAAAGTGAGAGGTACATAGAAATGTTCAATTTTTTAGGTAGGAGGAATTTTGTTATTTAACAATATAAAAAACTTAATGGAACAACTAATAAATATTTTGAAATTTGAATATTTGAACATTTATTTTCAATATTGAATGAATATTTAAACATTTTATTACAAAAATTGTCCAAATAGGCCGTAGTCTACAAATGATTCGCCATTATAACTTTCAACCTTACATACATTATTGTCAAATATAAAAGCTTCCATTATTCATTGCGTGTACTGAAAATCTGTAGTATACGTAACGTGAACTATAGATTTCCAATACTTGCAGTGAATAATGGAATATAACTAAAGAAAAAAATTTGAAAACCTTTGATAATTCTAAAATTGCATTAGCATTTCTAGTGTTCAAAAATGTTCATTACTTACTGTTCTATTACTTGTTTAATATCTAATTGTTTGATATTATTAAACAATAAAATTCCTCCTACTTCAAAAAATTAAGCGTTTCTAGACTTACATTTATATAAATTTTTTTCATGTTTGATCGAATACATCCTTAGAATATTTGACATTTATTCATTTAAATTATTTAAATTAAACTCTATATATCATAAACTATATTTGTTTAAATAGGCAAAGACACCACAAGATTCGGAGGAAGGATTATTGTTTATGCAAGAAATGGTTGAACTTACCAAGATGCAAATACAACCAGAAACTAAACCGCAAACAGTAACGTTCACAAAACCTAACACAGATCCACCAAAAAAAATTACGTTGTTAGCCGGACCAGCACAGTTTGGACCTGAGTTACAGAATTTCGATAAGATCACTGGAAAAGTGATATTTACATATCCACCCGCAGCTTGCACAGATCTGCTGAACGCGGATAGATTGGCGGGCAAGATAGTAATAATGGATCGTGGAAATTGCATGTTCATAGAGAAGGTACATGTCGCTGCAAAATATTTTTCCAAATCACCTTCCATTAGCTTTAAATTTTCATGTTTAACTCTAGGCGCGGAGAATTCAACAAGCTGGTGCTCTTGCCGGAATAGTATTAGATAACGTAGCGGGTTCGAGTGCAGCAACTTCACCCATGTTTGCAATGTCAGGCGATGGAAAAGAGATCGATGACGTCACAATACCTGTCGTGTTCCTCTTTTTCACAGAGGCAGCTGAACTGATGAAAGCTATTAATATGGCAAATGGCGATCTTACTGTCACACTTGGTAACTATAAAGATTCAAATATCGTACTACAAAATAAACGTGTTATTCTCATGCATTATTTTTTAATTCTTTCATGTTTGGAATCGATTTTTTTAAAGCGAAAACATCGAAATATTATTTTTACATAGGGACAACCCAGGTCACAATTGAACAAGTTTTGATTAGGTGTACCAAAATAATATTTATTATATTCACATTTCTAAATTTCGACGATAAGTTACAGTACGTTTCGACTTTATTTAGTCCTCGTCAGCCGTAAAATTACAATATTATTCCATACATATGATAAAATTAACGATCAACGTAGAACAAAATTATTATGAGGATCATCTCATCTTCAAGTTGCATTAAACAGTATAATACAAACCAAACATGTTATATTTAATCAAAATTGTCAATCGTAGACGATATAATGATGAGTCATGAATCCAAACCAATTCTTCGGTTATTAATAAGAAAGGGCAGTCAGTATGAATAAAAGAAGAGAAGTCAAATGAACAAAATAAGAGAGGTTAAAAAAGACTTATTCGGACAGATATCTCTTTCATTTGTCTAATTATCCCCTCTGTCATAAGATGGGTACAGTATTTAGCTTAGTTGATCAAGTGGTTTTGCTATCACACCCTCGAAAGTTTTATGAAAAGAACTTAGAAATTGTGTATTCAAATTCTTATGAACAATGGATATCCGCTGGAGTTGATATTTAAATTGTTCAATTTGAGGATTAAGAAATTGCTCTCAACAAAAATTCCACCCAAGATCGATGATAACAACGATCATGAAAATACTAATAAAATAATCTCTAATATGAGAAAGAAATTTTTTGTATACTTTCGTACATCCGCAGTCACACAGTCTGCCACATGTATGATTAGCAGATCAGTCTATAATATAGGTTACAGATGCATTAACAAATTAAACAGATTTATAAAAGTGCATAAAAACAAAAAAGAACATGACAATAATAATGTGATCTACAAGATTTGGCGTAACAATTGCGACGCTTCTTATGTGGGACAGACGAAGAGGAATCTCAAAACCTGAATAAATGAGCACATTAACAATATAAAACTTGACTCATCTAAACACTCGGTTGTGGCTGAACATTCCCATACAGCACTAAAAGTTTTCAGAAATATCTCAGAAATATATCAACTGAAAAGCGAAACATTTCATAAAAATCGCGAAATATGTCTGCAACATTTCTGAGACAGCTCTGGAATAGCAAAATGTCCACGATTCTTGCACATGAAACTTTGTTGAAAGATTGATGAAATGTTACAGAAAGAATCTGCAATCTTTTTGAAATATTACCAAAATGTTTTCAGCTATTTTTAGTACTTCAAAAATGATATTTAAATATATACTTGATTGATACTTAAATAATATTTAAATTTATTATGTCGATATAATAAATTTAAGTACTATTTAAGTATCAATCTTGACTCATATACATAATCAATAGTGATTATGTATATGTGCTTATACATGCTTTGTTATATTTCTGGCAAATTTGCTGACAATGTTAGATAATACAAATTCTGTATACAATTTGGTGCCTTTCTGCAATCAAAAATTGTTAACAGGCTCTGTTCAAAATCTGTCTCCGCAAGCTTTGCTATCAGGGATCATATATATCATATTACAACGAAACATAATAAGGATAAAGACCATAATAATTTCAGACTGATAATAATAAATTAAGAAAGGATATCCATCCTTTGTCCACTATTATTGGTAAAAGTATACATTTTGCAAAAATATCTTTGTAAGAGAGACCTTGTAAGAAATGTGTGAGGAACTAGAGGAACTCTCTAAGACAGAACAGTCGCAACACTCTTTAAAAAAATTTCGATGAGAAAAATATAAGAGCCTCTTACTTTAAAATATAAATTCGAATCATATGCATCCTGGAGTTCTCCAGGAGGAAAGAAGAGGAAGAAAGATGAACTGGTGCAAAAGTACAGCTAAAAAGAACAGGCCTATGGGTCTGTGGTTGTGTGTGTGGCTACTGGTTTCGCCAAGCCGCCGTCTGATTCTGTGTCACCACCGTCAACGCAGAGTTTTTGGCTGAGTACTCAAGGGCCTTAAAGAGTTCGCCTGTTAGTTGAAAATCAACTTAGAGTCTTAATTTTTTTATATGATGTAGATAAATACTGTACACAAATAATCCCATAATTTGAGCAATATTGACCGTATAGTTTTCTTGTAATATTATTCTGAAGTTGACCATTTTAAGCATATCGCTTTATGACAGGCGGTCGTTCCGAAGAAGATAATCATCGATTTAATACACACTCAGCCAACTTAGGACTTTGATAAACTAGCATTGACAGATGAAATATCAACAATTGTGTACAAAAAAGAAAAATCGGACTTTACTGTATGGATTTAAAATTTTATTGTCACAAAATTTATCTTTATCGCGCGCATTAGTAGTAACAGACTTGGCAACGCCACAGTGCACAGCTGATACGAAGCCAACTTCATATAACCTAGAATCCATCTCGACGTAAAGAAACAGATATGAAAATAATACAAAATCAGCTTTTACATCGATTCTGAATTTCTCCCATATTATTCGCCATAGCCGGTCACTGCCTGTCACATCACACAGTGCAATGTTGCCAAATATACACTCGACTTCCCGAGTCGTTGACAATCTCATACATTTGTTAATATTCTATACACTAATAATTTACTAAGAATATAGCACGTAAATAGTATCCACAATTCATTACACTAATATTGCATGTGATACGGAATCGCTGTAATGACAATTTATATCAGTTGTATTTTTTACTCCAAAGTAATAGGCGAACCTCTCCTTAAGTCAAATGTATTCAAAGAATTTGTCATTAAAAATCGGTACACGAATTTATCCGGATTTTGAATTAATACTAAATATACAACATTTCTTTCATTATACAAATATATGATTACAGGAATATATTCTTCAAAAGAAGAAATTCAGCTTAAAGCACCTACTGACTTGTCACTGTTCGAACGTTTGAAAGGATCATTAAAATCATTTCTCAGTCGACATGTAACTCAGCAGGTTTGCTGTTTTTTCTTTTGTTCAAAATTTTACATAAGTACTGTTTTATATTTTATATAAAACTTAAAAAAAAATACAAAAATTTTATATATTTATAGGCGACAACTATTACATCAAACTTGGATATGATGATTCCGATTGAATCGCAAGAAAATCAGGAGGACGCTATTGATTTTCATTATTTTCATGCAGAAATTGTCAAAGATTCACTTGGTGGTGAAGTCAGAATTACTGCTGCATCTGAAGCTACAATTATCATCTTGAGACCAGTCTCTACACCGATAGAGGTTTTGTGGCATCAGTTAAAAGAAGTATTCGTTAATCAAATATTTCTCAACACTAAACAAAACAAGGGTATAAGAATCAGAAGTTGTATTTTGGAGAGCTATTACAATTGGGTTAACAAGGCGCGTGGCGTGCTTATGAAAACATCTTTATCATACAAAGTTCGATGGTTCTTAAGTGAGCTGCTGGTGGTCGCGCCAAACTCATCTATTAAAAAGATGGGACAACTACTGGAACCAAACAAGCAGAAACTATTGAAACAATATTTACTTACTAATATGGATACTATGGTGCTGAATTTAAAAACCATAGCTACAAAATTGAAGAATGTAAAATCTGTTAGTCCTGAAATGGAACAACTACTAAAGATTTCGGAATCTGGCATTACACAAGTTGAAAATTATTCATTTCTACGTCATTTGTTAACTGATTTGTTTGATGAAGAAGAAGAGATCATTAATCAGCATGTCGCTCTTTTGGATCGTATTCATGCAGAAGTTCATACTACATATCAAGAAATATTAATTGATGGTGTCCAAAGGCACTTGGAGAAATCGGGAATAGAAGATAGTTCATATTATGACATATTGATTGCCGATTTGCAAAAGAATTTGAAAAATATAGATAAAGAAGAAAATTTACTTAGGAAAACTAAAGAAAACAATTTGGCAGTCGCTGAATTTATTAGTGACAGTAATACAGGTAAATCAGAACTGGAAAGAAAAAACCTTAGAATCTTAAAGAAAATTAAAGAATCAAGCGCTGAAAAGTTAGAGGATTTTGAATATTTCATATTAACGGAAATAGAAAAAGCAGTGAAATATTCTGAGCAAAATGTCTTACAAAAATATGAAGACATAAGCGACGAATCGAAAAATATTATGACAAAAAATAAAAAGGATAAGAATATTATCAAATCCGGCGAAATTACTCTGCACTCTTCTCAAAATCAGAGCGAGAGCGAAATTAAAAAGAATAAAGAAGTTCGAAGTACTTTTCAGAAAGAGATAGATTTTCTTCAAGTAACAAAAGTAGTAGATGTGAAATTTAAAGAAACAACTACAGAGAAAAAGATAGAAAAGTCTTCTGCAGATTCTGCATCGAGTGGTACTAATAAAATTCACATTTTTGATGGGTCTATGGCTAAGGATACATCCAATACAAGGATTACATCTCCCAATAATAAACATATTTTATTACAAGGATTACAAAAAGACATTAGTGATATACGGCATAGTCACAAGACCGATTTAAGAACAAAGTCATCCAGTTGGAAAGATTTTGTTGAAAATAAAATTATATCTACTGATTTACTGGAAGAGTTTAAAAATGCTATGTGGGTTATTAATAAGGAAAAAGTATTTAAAAAGAAACTACAAATGGCAAATACGCTACGTAGTACCACAAAACCTAATAAAATAAAGTATGATGCAAAAAAATACATGAGTAAAGATAAAGCAGCTAAACCAAAATCGCATATAGCTAAACATATCGATAATGATGAATTATAACAATAGTTTTGAAATTTAGACTACAATTATAATTATTATGCAAAAACAGAATTTCCAAAGGCCATAAGGCTACTGCATTATAATTGATATTTTTGCATTGTGATCTAGATGTGCATATAGTCAACACGTTCCGTGTCACACGTATTATCGATGATACACGTTAAACTTTTCATTCAAGTCGCGTATTCCACGGATAGTGCACGATGTGATGACTGCTCTTTACGTATATGCATGACTGTTCTGTGCGTGGGGGTAGTTCGGCACGGAACGTGTTAATTGACCTCTAGAACATCTCTTGTGAAGTGCGCGCGCGCGCGCGC